CTCGAGCTACACTAACTCCGTTAAGCTTAAGGGTGCTTAACAAACCGATACAACTTGAGAACCCGAGTCACACGAGCCTCAACACCTTTGCTTGGAGATACCGCACTCCAAGACTTCTCACGAAGGAACAAAGAACTTCCTTCGAGTTTACAACAAGGGAACAACCTCCCTTAAAGTGTATAAAAACACTTAAACACTCAGGAATAAAACTCTCACAAGGAATAGATATGAGTGAACTAGTAATCGCTCAAGAACACGACAATTTCTTCAAGAATAGGCTCTCAAATAGCTAAGAAAAATAGGAATGATTATGCAATGAAAGAGTATTGAAATGTTGAAGAATTGTGTATAAAATGAGAGGATTTGGGTGCCATTTTATAGCCCAAAGTGGGATAAAACCGTTGCTAAATTTTCCAACAGGATGAAGACAAATTTTTCAGAGTTGCAGGGTGATAATCGATTGTCTAGACATGATAATCGATTATTAAAAGATTCCCTGTCCAAAAGTTTAAAAAACTATCCGTTGGAGAACAACGGTAACCCAGATAATCGATTGTCAACAAGTGATAATCGATTATTGGTCCTCTCAGAAGATTCTGGGTTTTGGCTGCAAAGGCTGATAATCGATTATTGCATAAGTGATAATCGATTATTAAGTGCTTCAGAACTTTGGAAGTTCAAAGCTGCAGGGGCTAATAGTCGATTGTCACTAAGGTGATAATCGATTATCACCTAGCTAAAGTCTAGCCAGCTGAAACCCGTTTTGAAAAACCGAGGTCCAAAAACGAAGTGTTCCCAAAAGTAAAAACCAAGTTTGAAAAACATTGTATATGGTATAAAATAGTGAAAACAAGACTTGTTCGGTAAAAAACCAAGTCTCCAAGGTCGTAAATCACGTGGGTGCGGTTTTGACCGTTTTTCACGTGTTAGACCGATTGACCAAGATACAAAAGTGGTTTTTATGGAATAATTATTTGGGAACCTTTTAAATATGCTCAGATATAAAAACGAGGTTTAAAACATTGAAAACCACCGAGTTGGTTCGGGCGCCAAAAATCGTACGCCGAACACCGTACGCCGACTTAGGTGATTTTGGTTCTGAGCAAGGACCAGGGATTTTAACAATAAAAAAATTTATCAAAAAAAATTTATTTTGATGCACAAAAATATTTTATGATTTTGTAAAATTATTTTGACTCTTTGAGAACCGAGACTTGAATTGATTGTCGGTTTTGATCAAAAGACCGACTCGACTAAGTCTTCAATTCTTGATCTTGTCCTTGAGTCTTTCGGGTCTTGTTCCATGCCATTCTTCGCGCCTTGAGTTATTCAACGTAACTCTTTATATCCACGGCGGTTTGGCAATTATCAAAACCTGTCAGAAATGAACACGACTTTAGTTAAACGTGCAAAGTGTGTTCCAACAACGAAACTCTTTATATTCACGGGTATTTTGACTTTGTCAATTACCCGTACGCTCAAATGGTCCCCTACGTTCCTCCACCAAATTTCGGAGGTGAACAGAGTGGGACTCAAAACGTTGGTAGGGACGACGCGGTGGACGAAGACGAAGAAGAAGAAGAAGAAGAAGAAGAAGAAGAAGATGATGATGATGATGATGATGATGATGGCGATGGTGATGAAGATGAAGAAGAAGAAGAAGACATTGACGAAGAACAACTTCTCAATGATCTTTCCCCGGATTTCTAAGAGCTCTTGCTCTACTTTCTTCTCTCCCTTACTTTATCATCTTTTAATATGCTTTCGTTATGTACTCCGCTATTTTCCCTTAATTAATTAATAAAAATCTTTATGGTTTTTGTTATTAAATTTTTTTGTTAATGTCAAAAGGGGGAAGATAAGGGCTATGCATATATTAAGGGGGAATTTTTTATTAAGGGGGAATTTTTTTCAAAAAGAACAAAACCCTATGCATATCGCCGTCTTGTTTGCCATTATCAAAAAGGGGGAAATTGTTGGAACACACTTTGCACGTTTAACTAAAGTCGTGTTCATTTCTGACAGGTTTTGATAATTGCCAAACCGCCGTGAGAGTTTTATTCCTGAGTGTTTAAGTGTTTTTATACACTTTAAGGGAGGTTGTTCCCTTGTTGTAAACTCGAAGGAAGTTCTTTGTTCCTTCGTGAGAAGTCTTGGAGTGCGGTATCTCCCAGCAAAGGTGTTGAGGCTCGTGTGACTCGGGTTCTCAAGTTGTATCGGTTTGTTAAGCACCCTTAAGCTTAACGGAGTTAGTGTAGCTCGAGAGAGTCTCTCGGGAGGCTGGATTAGCCACACGTTGTGGTGAACCAGGATAAAATTCGGTGTGCTCCTTCCTTACGCTCTTTACTTTTACGCTCTCGTTTTTAATTTCCTGCGATTTTGTTTTAAACGCTATTCACCCCCCCNGAGTGCGGTATCTCCCAGCAAAGGTGTTGAGGCTCGTGTGACTCGGGTTCTCAAGTTGTATCGGTTTGTTAAGCACCCTTAAGCTTAACGGAGTTAGTGTAGCTCGAGAGAGTCTCTCGGGAGGCTGGATTAGCCACACGTTGTGGTGAACCAGGATAAAATTCGGTGTGCTCCTTCCTTACGCTCTTTACTTTTACGCTCTCGTTTTTAATTTCCTGCGATTTTGTTTTAAACACTATTCACCCCCCCCCTCAAGCGTTGGGCCTTTATTCTAACACCTCCGTGAGTGGAAACACTTGTGGGACCCCACACATCGGCATGCAAATATTCAAGCACATCAAAAAACTTAGTTCGAGGAAGGGGATTCGGGTTAGGAAAACTAACGCGGGTTTGTTTTCCAAGCTTACAAGATTCACAGAAAGGAACATGCATAAGCTTATCACTACCCAAGTGTCCATTTATATACAATATTTCAAGTCCTTTATTACTCATGTGACCCAACCGTTTATGCCATAGAACAAAATTATCAACCACAGAATTTGCATGCTCACAAACAGGTTCAGCTTTGCACACATACAAATTATTTTTCTTTTCAGCTTTGAAAACAACGATTGAACCCTTCATGATTTTCATAACACCTTTCCCCCATTTTCCCTCAAGACCCTCATTTTCAAGAGATGCACAAGAAAGCAAATTATAGGACAAATCAGGCACATGTCTAACATTCTTTAAGTTCACAATAGATCCAAAGTCAAATTTAAGACACATATCTCCAATTCCAAAAACTTTGCATTTCTTTTCATTAGCCATGGACACAATACCATTATCAATCTCTTGATAGTTTGAAAAAAAGTTTTGCACGGTGAAAGACACAAAGGCAGCCCCTCTTAATATAGTGGAGATTAGGGTGGTAATTAAGGCAAGCTTAATTAGGTTAAGGAGTAAAGGTTGGGCTTGAGTAAATGGGTTGCTGGGTTGGGTGTCAAATATTATTAATATGTTTGGGACAACCCAAATAAATTAAAAATCTCCACCTTTGGCCCAAAGTAGTGCACATAGTTGACAAAGAACTACGGGACTCATCATAGCCTAATAACCACTAAATGTGTAATCAACAAATGAGAACACACGTAGTGGTGGAGATTTCACTAAGTACTCTCAAGTCACGAAGACTAGGCAACATCACAAAGCATGACAAAAAGTAACTCACGAAGAGTCGAACTCTACCATTGGGTCATCGAGTTCAAAAAACAAAAAAAAGTAAAAGTCACAAAGACATAAAAGAACAAAAGATTTTAAACCTATCTCTGTGATTGGGTTTTGATCTTTTGTTCTTTTTTGTCTTTGTGACTTTTACTTTTTTTTTTTGTGTTTTGAACTTGATGACCCAATGGTAGAGTTCGACTCTTCGTGAGTTATTTTTTGGCATGCTTTGTGATGTTGCCTAGTCTTCGTGACTTGAGAGTACTATGTGAACTCTCCACCACGTACTACGTGTGTTCTCATTTGTTGATTACACATTTAGTGGTTATTATGCTATGATGAGTCCCGCGGTTCTTTGTCAACTATGTGCACTACTTTTGGCCAAAGGTGGAGATTGTTAATTTATTTGGGTTGGCCCAAACATATTAATAATATTTGACACCCAACCTAGCAGCCCATTTACTCAAGCCCAACCTTTACTTCTTAACCTAATTAAGCTTGCCTTAATTACCACACTAATCTCCACTATATAAAGAGGGGCTGCCTTTGTATCTTTCACCGTGCAAAACATCCGTCCCTTCTCTTTGTGACTTCTTTGTATGATATTTCTCTTCCTTTGTGAATTCATCTCAATTCTTCTCCGTTTCTTTGTTAGTAGAGTGTGGCGAGGTTGGGTTGGGGTGTTGCTCCTTTTGGTACCCTTGTAGTGCACAACTACGAACCGATTTTTATGGGTGACAAGAGTCTAATCGGAATAAATAAATACACATAAGGAGAAGAAGAAGAAGAAGAAGAACAATGATAATAATAATAATAATAATAATAATAATAATAATAATAATAATAATAATAATAATAAAAAATTATAAATTAGAATGAGAATGATAAAAAACACTTGAATAAGTTTTTTAAATTTTTTTAAAGAATCATTTATTTGAATTTCAACTTTTTGTATATGAATATAAAAAAATTAACATAATTTGAAATACTCTTCTGTTATCATTTATTCTCTTTTATTTGTTAAATATTACGTATAAATTAAACTAAGTTTTTTTTAACATTTCTTCTATTGAAGTATTTATTTTTTTAACTTTTTATCTTTCTTTATTTGAATGTACTTTCGAATTTTTAAAATAAAGAGTTCTGTACATTTCAAAGTATAATTAAACTAGGTATGTATATATATTTATCCCTGTATTTATCAAAAGTGAAAGTGAATCATCTTGAATCATACCAAAGCGATACTTCGGAATAAGTGCGATGTAAAATCTCATATTAAACTGAAATATTTGGTACGGTATTGGTATGAACCAAATACCGTACCATATTATACCACGCTCACTCCTATTAGCTAAAACGCTTTGTGACTTTTCACTCGCCTCAATTCAAGTAGACTTTTGGCTATTACTTATTCAATTTAGGGGTGGATTCAAGTTTTGGTAGTTTGGTTTTTACTCAAAACAAAAGGAAAAATGAAAGGTAAGTTGACGTTTTGTTTGGTTTCACACCAAAAATATGTAAATCATTGATTATTCGGTTTGGTTTTATGCAATTTTTATTTTGGTTTTTTTTTGTTTTTTTATTTTTAAAAATAAAAATTTATAACTATTAAAAAAGTTGTAACAACACTAACTCGATGAAGCAATAGAAATATGTAGGGTTAGCTTCAATTTTTAGTTTTTTACCCAAAACCAAAACCAAACAACAGGTTAGATTTCGATTCGGTTCAATAGAAATATGTAGGGTGGCGTGGCGTGTTAGAGAAGAAGCAAAAATTTATGATCCCAGGAAGAAGAAGAAGAAGCCAACAATCGAAGCAGACGAAAAGTCAGAGGACGCTCAATGATAGAAAAATGATGAAGCTGAAAGGAAGAAGAAGCAAGAACCAATTGATTGAAAATAGAAAAAACGGGTGCGGCAGCCGCGCTCCAATAGACGGCCATAGAGTATAGCTCGCTCACATCGCGACATCAGGCGTGGCTGGACCTCTACAATCATCATCCGCCGCTCGCCCTATTTTTTCTTCCGACACGATGCATTCGGAAGTCTCCATTGTAAGTGCTCTAATAATATCAACATAGAATTTGTTCTATTTACCTGATCCGATGATTGAATTTTATCTAATTTTATTAAGGTATGATCTAATCTAATTTGGTTTGATCTGATTTAATTGTTGTTTTATTTAAAACGATTTCTCATATGATCTAGTCTAATATAATCTTAATAAAAGTAAGTGATAAGTAATAAAAGTAAATTGAAGAAAACAAGCTTTTAATTGGTTGAATAAGCCATTTTCACTAAGAAGTAAGAACCATCAACTTAGTTAATAATTATCCTTTCATGTTATTGGACTTTTATTAAGAATCAAGTGGAGATTGTATAGGTGTATAAAATTTATGACAGGCTAAGGTTGCTTTCCATTTGCCGGCTTTTATTAATTTTAATCTGGGAAAAGGACCAAACTAGGAGTAAAACATATATCATATCCCCAAAATAAGAGTTAAAACTTAAACTCCCCTAAATAGGAGTAATTAACTTAATTAATCAACTTGTCCAATACTTAAAAGAAAGAAACACAAAGTAAGAAATATGGGCGGAGAAGGTTGTTAATGTTTTGTTGAATGAAGCCAAAACTGTAAACAACACTTCCATAATATTTCTAGATTTTGTAACTTTTCGTAGACATAGTAATGTATACACTTTCTTCTTCTTCTTTTTTTGAAATATTTTTAGTTATAAATATATTTGTACACACACACATATACATATACATACATATATATATACACACACACATACACATACATATACATACACACACATACACTTAATAAATTGAATTTGTTAGAGCAAATCTATCTTTCAAACGTCCATGCTACATGCAGTAAATAGTAATCCCCACCAATGAATCGAAATAAATTTAATAAATTAAAAGAATCTAATTAATCTTCTCACGTACTCCCTTCATGCTAATCTCTTACTCAGTTTTTAGCAATATTGTTGTGTTTACGTTGTCATAAGTAAAGATGGTGACGGAAGGTTGTTTTATGCTTGCAACCAACAATCTAGCATAAAAATGTGCAACGGTCACTATTGCCGCCGATCTACCGTCACGGTTACCAAGAATCCACACCCCCTCCGCGTGCAATATATTATTGTTAGTGGTTTCTCACATCACCAAATTTGTCACTGTCGCCGCCAACACCACTGGCATTTACCCATGGCCTACCGCTGCACCCCGCACCGTGCAATCGAGTGTTGCCGATGATTTTCTACATCACCAAGCTCGCCTCCTTCGCTGCCAACACCACTGGGATCAGCCATTGTCGTTGTATGCAGTAATATGGTCTTATCATGACTGTCAATAAAAAAATACTTTTAATACAATGCAACAATACCACAATATCAAATATTACAATCTATAATGCCAAACATCACTACGCCAGAAACAGCATCAGACCACCGTTGATTCACTACTGTTTATGCAAACACAGTAGTTGAAAAAAACAGACTACTGTAAGTTTTTCATAAGAACAGAACGGTAGTCTAGGTGGTATGCTTTAAAACTATTTTTCAAGTTTCGAGAAACGGTAATGTTTCATTAGTTGTCTGTCTCAGTTCAAGATACAGTTTTTTTTACAACAGTTGTCAATAAGAAGTTAAGAATACTCTATTTAAACAATAGTCTGGGTTGTTATTCTAGAACTGTTTTAAAATTTATTAGAAACAGTTATCTAACGTTTGTTGTCTGTTTCGTATGGGTTTTCTGCCACTGTTGTTTATAATAGGAATAGAAGACTCTTTTAGAACAATAGTCTATAAATTATAGGTAGAACTGTTTTTGAAGCTGTGAGAAACGGTCATCTATTATTAGTATTCAGTTTCGTAAAAAAATACAGTTTTTATTGCCACAGCTGTCAATAATTTGTTAAGACTACTATTTCTTAACAGAAGTCTGGTTTCCCAGTGTATAACTGTTTTTAAACTTATAAGAAATAGTATTGTATTACAAGTAGTGTGTGTCACACTATTTTTTTCACAGTTATCTATAATAAGTAAAGAAAACCGTTTTTAAGAGAATTGTGCATATCAAGCCTAGAACTATTTTAAAAGTTAAGAATACTTGTTTTAAATAGTAGCCTAGCTCTTAAGCCTAAAACTATTTTAAAAGTTTGGAGATACGGTAATCTTTTTTACAATGAAAATGTATACGCTCTCTAACTTTACATTCATACTTTCACGCAAAATTTATACAACAATCAAAGAACCGTTGTTCCAAACAATTATACGGACATGAAAAAATAAACACTTCCAGTAAGAATGAAAAGAAAAAGTATATGGACAACACACAAAGAGAATTGGATGGGAACTTAATTGGCGTCCTGGGTTTGGCATGGCAGCATCACCATAACCATCCACAATAGATTCATTGCATCACCTTTCAAAGCCTTCTTTTTCTTCTTTTCTTTATTACCCCCTGCTAGTTGGCTGTATGACTTGAAGTGGTGGCTTGACCTACTTGATTTGGCATGGCAGTAGCACTACCAGGGGCCTTTTGGCCATCTCTATTTTTGAGTCCCCAACAAAACAGCAAAAATGAATAGTAACACGAACAGTGTAAAGAAACCAAAGCATGGCTTTCCAAAGCATGCACAGCAAACAATTGCAGAAACCAAAGAATCACAGCAAAC